CTGCCTTCTAGGTTCAAGCAATTCTCCTGCCTCAGCCCCCTGAGTAGCTGGGATTACAAGCGCCTGCCACCACACCTGGCTAATTTTTGTGTTTTTAGTAGAGATGGGGTTTCACCACATTGGCCAGGCTGATCTCAAACTCCTGACCTCCAGTGATCCACCTGCCTCAGCCTCCCAAAGTGCTGAGATTACAGGCGTGAGTCACTGCACCTGGCCAAGTAGGATAATTTTCAAGAAAAATATATCAAAATGGACTCTAGAAGACACAGAAAATCTACACAGATCAATAGCATAGAATAGAGAAAGCTGTCAGAGAGCAAAATTCTCCAAAATATACAAGCTTAAACACTTTCATATGAAGTTCTACCAAATCTTTAAAGAACAGATAATTCAAAAAATAAATTAGTCTTAGCATAGAAAAAGAAAAAAAACGATCTTTTTGAAAGCAAAAATTTATGTCTTTGAAACAAGTATGACTTTGATAAGAAAATCTAATAGACCACACATACAACATCTACAGACAAATAGTAAATGGATATCAATAAAACAAACCCAGGAGTTCATCATTCTATTCTCTCTACTTCTGTAAATGTTTAAGGCCTAAATATCTTATGCACACCATGAAGAATATATAATATAAAATTGTACTGTATATGGGATTCATGCTAAATGAGTAGATTTTAGCTGATCTTGCCACAAAAATAAAAAAGGGAACTATGTGAGATGATAGATATGTTCATTTATTTCACTGTAGTAACCTTTTAACTGTCTGTATGTATCCCATAACATCATGCTGTATACCTTAATAATACACAATAAAATTTATGGATGTATTTACCTATACATGTACATCCCCCAGGCTGGAGTGCAGCGACACAAACACAGCTCACTGCAGCTTCAATCTGGGCTCGAGCCATCCTCCTGCCTCAGCCTCCCAAGTAGCTAGGACCCCAAGTGTATGCCAACACCACTCCTGGCTATTTTTTTTTTTTTTTTTGCAGCAACAGGATCTCGCTATATTGCCCAGGCTGGTCTCAAACTCCTGGTCTCAAGCCATCCTCTGCCTTGTCCTCTCAAAGCACTGAATTAAAGGCACATGCCTAAGTATTTTTTTAATTTCCATAATAAAAACTAAAATAAAGACATCTTCTATCTAGATATACCATTTTTTCACCTATCAAAAGTTCGACAATAATGTGGTGAAGGCATCGGAAAACAGGGACTCTCAGAAACTTCTACCAAGAGGGAAACAGACAATGTTTATGGAAAGCAATTTGACAATGTTTGTCAAAATTACAAATGCACATACCTTTTGACGTAGCAATCCCACGTTTAGGAATCTGTCCTATATATACACCCAGACATGCGTGAAATTATGCATACAATAATTCACTGGAGGGCAGGTTGTCATAGCAAAGACTGGAAACAACCTATTAACTAGCCATCAATAGGGAGAGTTGGCTAATAAATCCTGGTACATTCATATAACCAAATTCTCAGAAGCCATAAAAGAGAAAAACAAAGTTCTGCGGGTACAGATATAGAAAGCTCTAAGGTATTAAGCTCAATAAACAAGGTACAGACAAAGGTATAAACTGCCATTTCAGCAAAAGAGGGGAGGCCAGTGGACAGAAGTGGGAAGCAGGCTTTTCTGTGTCCTTTTGCACCTTCTGAATTTGGAACCATGTGACTGTAATCTTAGGCCCCAAAGAAAAATCTCATTTTAAAAAATACCACCCTTTGGAAAGTACTATTGCCATTATAAATTTAAAAACCATTTAGAATACTTGTTTTTCTTGCTATATTTGCTAACTATGTGGCAGGCTATATTTCAAGTCAAGATGGAGTTCAAGAAACTTTCATTATTTTAAAAGGCATAGAGAAATACTGCACATAGATGAAAGAGGGGCAATAGATCAGACAGAAGATCATCTAATGAATGGTGCCTAACCCTGGATATGCTTTAGAATGACAGACGGCTCTCCTAAAAATACCAACACTCCGCACTCCACCCCCAGCACCCCCAGACCATTTACAACAAAAATTCGGGGTATGAGGCCCTGGCCTGAAAACCACTCATGTAAACTTCCAAACAGTGGTTCAACAGAAGTCCGGAGGACATTTTGCTCCCCCAGGGGACATTTGTCAATGACTGGAGACATGTTTGGTTGTCACAACTTGGAGTGGGAAGTGTTCATGGCATCTAGCGGGGAGAGGCCAGGAATGTAGCTCAACTTCCCACAGTGAACAAGACAGCTCCTACCAAAATTACCTGGCCTGAAATGGCAAGAGTGCTGAGGCTCGGGAACCCCTGCTTTAAAATAAAATTGCTGCTTCTGAAGTAACAACCAGTTTTAGCCTCCACTTTTAAACATAGGAAATAATCTCCTTCTTTACTGATGTGCTGTACATTCACATTAAGAAAGCTATTTACCAAGGTTGTAGCAAACTATGTACATCCTGCGTATCTCCTTTCTCTGGTCCCTGTCTAGTTACTATAATTGAAATGTATGTCCCATTTATAAAGTACCCTTGGAGAAAGGCATAAAGTTCATAAATTAGCAGCCTGTAGCCCAACTTGATCCATCTGTGTATTTCGTTTATGCCAAAGTTCTCTTAAAATGTCCTGAATTGGTGCCAATCAGCTGCCCCTTTGGAGCTAGCCACATACCAGGAATTTGTCAGTCCTTACCTCATGCTTATCCACTGCCTGCTACCTGGTACTTTCAGCATCTGAGTTGGCCCTCTCCTGCAGTTTTCTCCAATCATACAGGGACATGAAGCCTTTTCACTCCTCCTCTCTCCTCACCTTAAAAATATCCCACACCCATTCTGAATTCTCCAACTCCCACATCACTTGCCAAAATAGAACTGCTATCAAGAGACAGAACTAAGAGAAAAGTAGAAGTAGAGATGGCCTTTTTGCGACAACTTCCTTCTTTTAGTCGTCCTGTCATTAAAGATAGGCTGGTTAGCACCTGATTCATCTCTGGGTGTTACAAACTAGCCTTGTCATTTCTAGCAAATTCCACTACAATGATATCTAGCACGTCTGTGTGTTTCCTTATAAGGAAAACCTTAAATTATTATGCTTCTCTCGTGACCTTAGTGAATCCCTCCACCCCTCTCAAAATAGGTCAGAAGACTTTTATGGGAAATATCTTTCAAAAGATTTGGTAGTTTTCTTTTAGAAAGCTCATGCCTTTTCCTTTGAAATCACAATTGTATAGTTGTGAACTGTGCTTTTAAAGCTCGCCTGATACAGTCTACATGTTTTATTAATGAGGAAAACGAGCTCCAAGTGAGGTTTGGTCACTTACTCAAGGCCACGTTGTGAATTAGTGGCAGAGCCAAGATAGAACATTTGTTTCCAGATACTTGCCCCACAGGTTTTCCATACTAACACTATCCCCCCTCTGTGGTTTTCCTACTCACTTAACATCCTTGCCAAGATACCTATTACCAAGGTAGACACTAGCTGCTATGGAAATTAACCAAAATTTTGGACGGCTACTGGACCTATCACTTAAAACTTTGAGAGTGGAAGGAACTAGGAGTTTCTGGATTCCTTTTGTTCCTTTTCTTGTGAATTATCCTGTGTCACTTTATGCTAATGAAAGGCTGATACCTTCAGAATCTTCCCTAAACCATAAATTAAAGATGGAAAACTTGCCTATATTTATAGCAACAGCAACATTTTCTAAACTCTAAAGTCAGAAACTGCCTCAAACCTCTATAATTCTCGAGATGGTAAGTAAAACTACCAATAGCTTTTGGGAGTGAAGTTTTAAGATGCAAAGATCAACATCTCATTGAACTTTGACTTTCATCATCATCCTCTGGTAAACAGGTTTCTAAAATTTTCATTTGGTCTCAACTTTAACCTATTCCTCTCTTCCTATCCTCGCTTTAAAAAAAAAAAAAAAAAAAGTATGGAGATCACTTTTTGCATATCAGTTCTTCCTCAAATGTTCTACCTACTCTGCACTTTAGTTTTTATGGCCAACTGACACTATCACTGACACCTTTGACAATTACATAAAATTCATTAACAGACACCCCACTATTTCCCCTCGAGAGCTTAGAACATCTTGGCTGCTGGATTTGATTTTCCTTCAGGGATGCTGAGTTCCATTCTGATACCTCAATGCATGTGTTTTACTTTTAAGTGCTTCCCAACCAGCTCCTTCGTCTTCTGAGGAAACATGATCCAGTTAACAGAAGGTGTGGAATCTATTCCCATCTCAGCTAGGCCTGAGGCAGGCTGGGAACCCGGATCCTCTGTGATCCCACCTCAATCCGTGAAAGCCGCCCACCAGCCCACCGGACAGGAAGAATGTGGGTGGGACACCAAGTGAGAAGAGAAACGAAAGGTGTTGGCACTGAAACAGGAGTTGTATTAGACCCTGCTGATGCTAGGAACCCACGCGTCCGCTCTTCCCAAGCATCTACAGCGTGTGCAGTCGCGGCCTCTAACTGCTTTAATATAACCTGATGAAGACAACAGTTCGAGTTCTGCCACTCTGGCCGCACTGTAACACCTTAGAGCAGAAAAGGAACAAAACGCCACTGCATAGTCTATTTAACCTCAACGTATTTCTAAACAGTTCTTACCCAACCAAAAAAGAAAAATCTAAACATAAAAACATTGAAAAGCCACCGACATCTCGTTCTGAAGTTTTAAGGGCTGTGAGGTTTGTGTCAAGCAGATTTGAAGTTAACGATGGTAGGTTTGGGGAGTCTCGCTTGCGATGAGGGTCCTGCAATGAGACGCGGTTTCTGTGTCTCCGGTAAGTCCCAGGCTGGGTGTGAGGGTGCCAGGCCCTGCCCCTCCGCGCCCCGAAATCCGAGCCCCAGGAGAGCCTCCCCCCGCCGCGCCGGATATCCCCTAGCCCTGCCTGCTATTCCCACGGGCTTTACCCCAAAGCCGCGGAGACCCAGGGTGGCAGCCCGAATGGCGGCAGCCCCGGGCCCATGGGGACCCTTGGCCCCGTACTCACCGAAGTCCAGGAACTGTTTGATGGAGAGCGGCGACGGCGAAAAGCGCGAGTAGCGCTCGATCTGCTTGGGCACCGGCTGCTTCAGCAGCCACCGGAACAGCCGCATCCTCGCCGAGGCGGCTCACAGACCCGCCGAGACGCTCAGGTAGCCGCAAGGGCTGGCGCAGCCGAGCCGCAAGGACCCGGCACGTTCGCTAAGCCCGCACCCCGGCCTCCGTCTCGGCCTCGGCGCCGCCGGTGCAGCCGCCGCAGAAGCAGCAGCAGCTCCCGGACCGCCACCGGCCGCCCGCCGCTTCCCTAAGCTCCGCCTCGTTAGGCGGAGACGGTTGCTGCACGTACGCGGCGCGCGAGGGGCTGCGTGGAGCGCGAGGGGCACGCGGCCGCGCGCGCCCTTCACTGATTGGCTGCCACCGCCTCTGTGACGTTTTTTTTGTTGTTGCGGAGTGCTGCGCGGCGCCTGAGCCCCCCGCCCTGGCTCGTGGGGCTCAGCCCAGCCCAGCAAGTGCAGCCTCTCCCGGCTCCGCCCCTGGCAGGGTTCTCTACTGCCTAAAAGGTAGCCGAGGTGCCCGCGGACCGGGAAGAGGCCGGGAGCCAGGAATTCGATCCTCCGCGCTGCTCGAAAGCCTTCTCAACCGCAGGCGCCTTTTCTGGGAGGAGGACTTACAGTTCCAGATGTTCGCTGCATCTTGACACTTAGATTTTACAGCCTAACTAGACTGACTGTTTTATGCCCTCCACCACTACCGCCACTTTTGGACAGAATTTAATGAAACCTCACAGGTTCTATTTTCTGCCCGCTTCCTGCCATTGGACAACCTTAATTGTCATTTCACTGACTCTTATGACATGGCCCCCCAGCTCCACCCCCACCTCACTCCCGAGAGAACACCTTTGGACGGGATTGTTAGGTCCCTGATTCTCTTGTTTCCTGGTTCCTTGCCCCTCCTTCCCGCACAAGATAAGTCACTGATTGCGTTTCATGTCCCCCCCCCCACCACCGTTGGATGGGATCCATTGTAAGATCGAGGGTCACTAACACCCGCCATACACCCCCAATGTCATTGGACAATATAACTGCAAGGTCACTGACTCTGTTCGATGCCCCCCTAGCCCCACTACTACCATTGGAAAGGATCAAATAAGGTCACCGACACTCTCTCATACCTCTTCTCTACCACCACCACCATAGGACAGCTCCCTGACTGCTTCACAATTCACTACCACTTTTGGATAGGAGTCTATGCTTACACAGTGTTGGGTATTCTCAAGTAAACTTCAGAGCCTGGCATGGTGGCATGCACCTATAGTCCCAACGACTCTACAGACGGAGTTGGGAGGATCACTTGAGCCCAGAAGTTCAAGATCTGCCTAGGCAAACATACCCAGACCCCCCTCTCAAAAAGAAAAAAACAACAAAACCTCAGGGCTCAATACATGAAATTGTTATTTCCTATTATGAATGAATAAAGTACTGCTTGCTTTAGCCATTTCCACCAAACCTTGGCTTTTTTTTTTTTTTGGCAATATGTAAACATAAACATATGTAATTAAGAGGACGGGAAGAATGTTCTTTAAAGAAAGGTACAAATGTGACTGGAAGCCACTCTGTGGGTCTTTGATTGGACTGGTTTCTCACTGAATGAGATTATTGCTGGGTAGCTATTTAGCTTTTGTGCCCTCATTGGACGTTTATGCAGCAAATTCTTTGCTTAATAAAATAGTTGCATGTCTACTCTGAATTTAAAGAAAAGTAACATACATGGTAAAAGACATCCAGTGGTCTTCTCGATTTCTGGATTTTCAAAAACATATTGATGATCTTGGCAGTGGTATGTAGATTACCATGTCTTTTCCATTCAAATCAAACCAAAGCAAAAAAAAAAACCACATACTAACAACTTCTTTAACCAGGAGTTTTACCAGAAGAACTAAGCAATCCAGTTGTGTGCATGGGCAGACAAAGAGAAGACCAGTGGCCTATGGTTCCCAAAGTGACTCTCAGGTGCTACCTGGAAGTGGAGAGGTAAATGGTGGCAGTTGTCAGTGAGCAGGAAGAAGCTGGATATTTGTGGAGAAGGAGATTTTCTCAGCCTAAGCAACAAAGGGCCGATCTTTCTGAGCTTCCAAATCACTTATTTCACTTCTTTTTCCACTGCACAAAATGCTACTTAAAATCCATTCTGTTGATTTGATTATTTAAACTTTCGTGTGCCTAATTTTATTTCTGCTTCTCCAAAATGTGACAAAGTTCTAGAAGTTGGGAACAATATGAAAGAGCCCGATATAATGTAAAATGTGCTTAGACAAGGTTACAGTCACCTAGCCTTTCTGTGTTGCAGTTATTTTTGTGTCAAATTAAGATACCTGATTTCTCTCCCTGGCATTTGTGACAGTCAAATCAAATTAATCATATCTAATATAAATACAAGGTATTGCACCTCTTGTGTACAGCAATGCATATATTTTTACCTAATAGTTTTATGATAACTTGCAGAGTCCAGAAGTGAAACCAGTGTGTTGATAAATAGATCTTGATGAAATCTTTTCAACTCCTTGTACACACCTAAGGTCTTGTGCAGACCCCACTCCCAGTGGCTCTCAAAAGTGAAATCCCTAGACCTGCGGCAGTAGCATCACCTGAGAACTTGTTCGAAATGCAAACTCTTGGGCCAGGCGCAGTGGCTCACGCCTGTCTAATCCTAGCACTCTGGGAGGCAGAGGCCAGCGGGTTGCTCGAGCTCAGAAGTTGGAGACCAGCCTAGGCAATATGGCAAAACTCGTCTCTACTAAAAATACAAAAATATTGGCAGGGCATGGTAGTGCGCTACTGTAGTCCCAACTACTTAGGGGGCTGAGATGGGAGGATAGCTTCAGCTCAGGAGGTGGAGGCTGCAGTGAGCCAAGATTGCACCACTGCACACCAGCCTGGGTGACAAAGTGAGACCCAGTGTACAAAAAAAAAAAAAAAAAAGGAAAGAAAAAGCATGTGCATGCAAGAGAGAGAGAAAGAGAAAGAGAGAGAAGGAAGGGAGGAAAGGAGGGAGAGAAATGCCAACTCCTAGATCCCACTGCAGCCCTACTGAAGCACATCTACGTTTTAGCAAGCAATGGGGGTTTTAAAGATATGGCCACAAATTCTTTGATACTCCTCAAGAGATGGAGCTAAATTCCTCTCTGTTTGAATGTGCGTTAGACTTAGCTCAAGCTTCTAACAAAGAAGAGTGTGGCCAAGTCTACGACCATACCACCCTGAACGCACTCGATCTCATCTGATCTCAGAAGCCAAGCAGGGTCGGGCCTAGTTAGTACTTGGATGGGATTGCCATCTAGGAATACAGGGTGCCATAGGCTATATTAAAAAAAAAAAAATGTGGCCAGAAGTGATAAGATCTCACTTCAGAGATTAGTTTGTAAAATAACTGGGGTCCTACAAAATACCTGACCAGTACTTCTCAAAACTATCAAGGTCATTCAAAATAAGGAAAGCCTGAGAAACTGTCACAGTCAAGAAGACCCTAAGGAGATATAACAACTAAATATAATGCACTATCCTGGTTGGGATGCTGGAACAGAAAAAAGGATATTAGTAATGAGAAATGTTTGAGGTGATTTGATCACTCAACATTGTATATATCAATATGTCACTATATACTGCATAGATATGTACAATTATTATGTGTCAATTAAACAATTTTTAAAGGATGTTGGGATAGGGAGAGATTTGTTAAAGGATACAAAATTATACCTATATAAGAGGAATAAGTTCTAGTGTTCTATAACACTGTAGGGTGACTATAGTTAAAAACAATGTATTGTATAGTTTCAAACAGATGGAAGGAGGATATTGAAGTTCCCAGCACAAGGAAATGGTAAATGTTTAAGATGATGAATGCTAATTACCCTGATCTGATCACTGTAACCTCATGAATATGTACAACTATTATTTGTCAGTTTAAAAATACAATCAGAAATTTAAAAAATAGGCCAAGTGCAGTGACTCATGCCTGTAATCCAGCACTTTGGGAAGCAGAGGTGGGCAGATCATCTGAAGTCAGGAGTTCGAGACCAACCTGGCCAATGTGGTGAAACGCGTCTCTACTAAAAATACAAAAAGTAGCCGAGCCTGATGGCGGGTGCCTGTAATCCTAGCAACTCAGGAAGCTGAGACAGGAGAATCACTCGAATCCGGGAGGCGGAGGTTGCAGTGAGGTCAGATCACGCCATTGCACTTCAGCCTGGGCAACAGAGTGAGACTCCGTTTCAAAAGAAAAGAAAAGAAAAGAAAAGAAAAGAAAAGAAAAGAAAAGAAAAGAAAAGAAAAGAAAAGAAATCTTAAAAATAAAGTTAATATAGGCAATCATTCCAGCTAAAAGGAATAAAATGTTATAAAAACAAATGGACAAAGGTATATTCAGTAAAACTAAGGAAATTCTAAATAAAGTATGGACTTTCGACCAAATTTGTTTAATAATAATGTATCAATATTGGTTCATGAATTATAGCAAATGTACCATATTAATGCTCCCTGCCTCCCTACCTGTCTCCCACTCTCCACCTCTCTCTCTCTTTCTCTCTCTTGCCTATGATCCTCCCCCTGTGGAACCTTGAGATGACAAAGCTCTAGCTAATGTCTTGATTGACACCTCATTGTAACCTTGAGAGAGACCCTGAGTCAGAACCACTCAGCTAAGCAGCTCCTGGACTACTTCTACCCCCAGAAATCCTCACAGTTTGTTGTAATAAGTGTTCGTGGTTTCTAGCTGCTAAGTTTCTAAATAATCTGTTATGCAGCAACAGTTAACTAATATACAAGCCCTCCAGGTAATTTTTTTTTTTTTTTTGAGACAGAGTCTTGCTCTGTCACCCACGCTGGAGTGCAGTGGTGCGATCTCGGCTCACTGCAACCTTCACCTCCCAGGTTCAAGCGATTCTCCTGCCTCAGCCTCCTGAGTAGCTGGGATTACAGGTGTGTGCCACCACACCTGGCTAATTTTTGTATTTTCAGTAGAGATGGGGTTTTGCCATGTTGGTCAGGCTGGTGTCGAACTCCTGATCTCAGGCAATCTGCCTGCCTTGGCCTCCCAAAGTGCTAGGATTACAGGCGTGAGCCACTGCGCCCGGCCACCTCCAGGTAATTCTGATGCACCTCAGGTGTGAAAACCACTGTCCTACCCTAACCACTCTAACCTTACTCCCTATTCCTTCCAGCTAATGCCTCAGATCTCAGTGTAATCATCACTCAAATGGAGGCCTTCCCTGACCATAAAGTCAATTTCTTCTCCTTGCCCTATGTTTTCTCGATTCTCTCTGCTTCCCACTGTAACTCTCCAAACACTTTGTT